AATACTAAATAATAATAAAAATGACATTTAACAACACATGCCTAAACACAAACGTAGATAGTGGTTACGCTGCGCGCGCACACCCTGCCGACCATCACACCGCTATCATGAAGGTTAACATTCATGCCAGACTACAAGCTGTTGTTCTCAGGAGGCAGACTAAAGGACTGAAACGGGAGGAGGCACGCAGCTACGTAGACCGCAGTCATTTTTCGATGCAACAGATTAAACATCTACAGCACTAGGGCTGTGAGATATGCAGTCGACGCCGTTTCGCGCCCCTCGGGATGAGTTACTTTGAGCGAATCGTTCAGCGCCTGTTAAATTCACTGGCTTCATCTGCAACAGCCTGTCTTAATGCCTCATTTATTAATAATGCTTCCCCCCCTTTCCTATACCTTTTTCTTCTGTGCGTATTGTATGTATTGATATTACAGACTCAGCACTCGTAGTAAATTTGTGTGCTTCACAAATGACAGCACAGTGTACTGAGATCCTACAATACTGAACGTTCAGATGCACCAAGGTAGCATATGGTAGCACAGGCCCTGCTCAACATGAAGGCGCCACAGCCGGCAACGGGCGCTAACGATAGGTTACAGCAAGGAGAATCCAGAGGGATTAGCGTCAGGCATTTTTAAAAAGTCAGGTTATGAAGAGTTTGCTGTTATTAATCCTCTGAACACAAGGTGGGGGCTTCCAATGAGGCTGTTACAGCAGGGTAACAAAGTCCATCAGAACTCTGTCTGATGAGGGGCGATGAGGGCCCTGTACTTATATCCAAGCTGCAGATACTTCAGGGTTCCTAAAAGATACCCCACCATCACACGCCATGAGTGGGAACGCCAATAACCTGCAGCCATTTTTAACCAGGAGAAAATAACAGCAGTCATTGTCGAAGATAATGTGTGAAACGTCCACCCATGGCTCTATTCCCGCTTCAGTCCCCCAGCATGCCACCAGCATGACTTCCTGACAGACACCTGGCTACTTGATCCACCGTGGCCATTCTGAGAATCCATCAAGACGCTGTACATCAGCTCGCAGGGTACCTCAGCCAGTGTGGAGGCCAGAACATTCTGGAGAAATGCTGCCTGTATGATCACCATAATTACATAACAACCTGTTGTGTCACCCTGCATCTTCCATCCATCTTCAGCATGCAGTGTTTATAACCTACAGTCCAACAGTGTAATGTACCTAAAACATGTCATTCAATAGCACCACAAACCAAAGACTCCCAATTCAAGTCTGATAAACTCACAGTCAAAGGCTACAAAGAGATACAAGACCTACAAAACCCATGCTTTACATATCCCACACATTCACCCCCTGGTCTCTTATACGTGGGTCACCCCACAGGTCAGTGTGTGCAAGCCTGGTACCGATAATCTCTGACCTGAAAGACGGTCTTTATGAAATGAGCGGAAATATCACAGACCAAAAGGTGGGGGGGTTACAGAGAATAAACATAGAGGGCATTAAAGTTGCAGATGGAGCGTGATTACCACTGTCTCTTAACTGCATGTTTGTGGGGTAAAAAAAAAAAAAAAAAAAAAAGTGCTTATCCGAGCACAGCCGTCTGCAATGTTTGTCGCACATGACCTGCGTCTTAAGGAGGATCTCAGCAGTCACGGCCCTCACAGCACCCAACCACGAAGCAAAAACAGAAGTGACCCGTTGATAATTCAGATGAGCGCGAATCGTGGACGGCACGAGTCATGAGCACCGTCGTGGCGAAGTATTCACATCCGCAGTCGCTAATTCTGCATGTGAACGTGGAATGTGCAGAATTAGCAAAACAGGATGCCGGCAAGCGAAAACACAAAGGGCCCCCCCAACCCCATTGTATGTGGGGAAATTTTAGCCTATTTATCCCTGCCTTGGCAATTGCTCCCTCCCCCCTCCGTGGGGCCTCAGCTTCTGTTCGACACCTCCTGCGTGAGGATTCTCCATGCTGGTGCCAGAAGGATCTCAAATGAGAGAATGACATTAATGACATTTACTTGAACGTGGAGGGGCAAGAGGAAATCGGGTAAGGGTGGGGGGTTCTAGGAACAAAGATAATGGTGTCCCACGATGCACCACTACCAGCATTCAAAGAGAACCTCCTTCCTAAAGCAAGCGGTCATGTCCTTATTTAGACCTTCTCCCCGCACTTCTAACACGTCCTCCTCACTCCGGGTGTGTCGAGACTCACACAGGTCCAATTCCAATCTGCATCATGCGCCTGGCGCAGCAGACTGCATAAAGACGACAGCTGCCGATACGCGGAAACCTGACAGCACTGGAAAGGTTTTCGGATGGCTGCAATCACGCATCTGCGAAAAGTAGGTTAGGTAGGTAGGGAAACAAGAGGGAAACAGGAGCTGCATCTCGCTCACGGACACAAAAAAGCACAGCAGGATATTGTCCTCTTAAGTTTCATCAGAGAAATATGCAAAGTGAAAGGAAACACGCTGCTGCAGACCTTCCTCTTTCACAAAACGGCATTGTGCAAGAGAAACGGAATGCTTCAGAAACAGGAAGTGGATGGAGGAAAATAAGTAAGGTACAGCCATGCAGCAGAACACTACCTGAGAAACACCAAATATCTGCTCTCGAAACCCTTCGGGTTCAACTTATGATTAGGTTTGCCATTCGTAGTCGTTAATTTACCAATTGAAAATAAGAATATTTATCATTGCTACTGCTTCCAAAAGCAAACAAAGTCAGTACCCATCTGTGTTTATGGAAAACATTTGTATTTTTAACAAGCAAGATCTAAATGGCACAGTGCAACTGGACGAAGAGCCTGGACCAAAAGCTAAAATTCCAGAAAGCATGAAAGGCTTCATCACTACGGTGTTTTCAATGTATGCATGATCAAATTATATACCAATGATGAACAATCAATATAAAGCCGAAACGTGCGTGATCACTTTTTTCCCCCCATTTGAGCCCATTAGTTTGTAATGCCAGAAATCTTGATTGATTACATTGACAGGCCTTTAACGGCATGAAGTATGCTGGCGCTCTCTAGTGGGATGCTGAGGACCTGCAGGTTCTCTCTACTGTTTACTCGTCGGTTTGCTTTTAGCCAAATTCAGCACATACCAGTGCAATAAGTCAACTAAGCAGATGTTATGTAATAGAGAATCACAGATCTCACCTAAGCGGAACCCTAACATAAAAAAAACGTGAACAGAACTCTATGTATTGCCTTGTAAAAAAAAAAAAAAAATGTTCCCCTTTTTACCAAACAGAAACTGAAGAAACCTCAAAAAAAAACAGGGAGCTAGCCAGATTGTTACTCGTGCCAACTTTTGTGTAAGCAACAAACAACAAATTTATTTTTGTATAGCGCATTATCACAACATTACATCGTCTCAAAGCGCTTTACAGCATCCCCACCCAAAGCCCCCAGTGAGTAAGCCATAAGCAAGGAGGAAGAAAACTTGGGAGGGACCAGACTCAAAAGGGGGAGCCCAGCCGGCAGGGAGAGTCAAATCAGAGAGCTGGCTAAGTGCCGAGTCATACTGCCCAAATCATAAAATTTGAGACACAACCGGGGAGCAAGGAGGAGATGACAAGCCGGTGCCGACACTCCCTCCAATCGCCAGGCAACGAGAAGTAAGCTAGGACTAGGTTCACTTACTGAAATATAAATTAAATAACCATTAAGTTGTTCAAATACAAAAAGTGGAAGGTCTGATTCCTGATTCAAATAAGTGCCTGATGTGGATAGCCCTGCCCCTAAGATACGTTTTTTTTGGCAAAGAGACAGATCCCCTGAACCTGCATCCTATTTCCACCCACTTCCCTCTTTTAAATCCTCCTCAACGGCAACTTAAAATCGGCCCATCTTCCCGAGTCTGGTGGACCAGAGAAAATACAGAAGTGTCACTTAGGAGAGCGACGTGATTCATGGCTGCCCGCAGCCTCATTATAGTCCCCGGTCCGGCCCCGGATGGCCACTCCGGCACCGGCGGACCGGCTCCATTCGTCTGTCAGCACAGCGTTAAAAAGGAATACATAAAACCGGTAAAACAGACGGGCAATGGACCATATCAGTGCCTTAAAGAGACGTACCTTTTAATTGCCAGCCCCTGTGCCATTTCTCATCTTAAAAAGAGATTTATCAGCCCTGCCGCTGACACGGCGTAACGAGCTGGGGTGACAGCCCCACTAAGAAATGGCCATTTTCTTTACCATAATTCATAATTGTCCAATGTTATATGCTGGACAAGATCTACTGCGTAAATGAGTGGTTTGCTGTAGCCCTACTCATTCTCAAAGAGCAAAAATTTGTGGTAAACAGCATTTCTAGCAAACATTACGGACAGCAGGTGTAATAGAATCATGTAGATGGTCTAGCTCTATATAGTAGTGCTCTGCTCTAACATACAGAATTGGTTTATTTCAGCCATTTACCTCGATGCATATGGAGTAAAAAAAAAAAAAAAACTGATTTCTGGCTCTTATTTAGTGCTAAACATCACAATCTGCCAATACATTTTATTTCTTTTTTTAAAACATGGGAATGGTCTTTTTTCCTAAAGGAGGTGCTTAAATACCATGGCGAGTTCTTCTGGCTCTTTCTGGTTTCACCTTCTCCTGAATGAGATTCCTCTTTGTGAGAGGTCAACAGAAACCTGCGTCAGCACCATGACACTTATGAATAGCAACAAAGGAGCCAGCAAACAATTACTCAGTAGGCTTTTCTTATTTAATATTAATGTGGTTTTTAAAAAAAATGGACCAGCCCTTAATCTATACTTGCCTAAGCACAGAGCCAGAACAAAAACATGCCAGACTTGTTTTGGGGTGCAACTACAGATGCCAGGTGCAACGCAATGGGTCACCTGGACAGGGGAAGTCCCCACGTTTAACACCTCCTGCCAGCGTGCAGGGCAACTACGTGCCCTCACACACACCGGCACCCTCACACCACCTCACAGGCATGGTCACACACACCGGCACAGGGAGCAGCATATGGCGAGCAGGGCCACCGCACCTACCAGGCTGGCGGTGAGGGACGGGGCAGACTTGCCCAGGGTTTGAGAGCGCATGCGGACTAGGTTGGAGGTCTCCATGGTGGGGGCCAGCTGGGGAGAGGCATAAGGCAGCAAGTACTTCCCTGTAACAGAATAAGATTCATACATTATACACAGCCAGCACTGACACCCATCTCATCTGCTAAACAATGGCTGAGTACAGTTCCATCATACACAGATACCCTTGAACAGCAGTAGCACGTATTATGGCAATTGAGCCATTGTGATGTGCAAGTAGTCCTAGACTATTTTCACTGCTTTTAACATGTATTTCTATGCATAGGTGGAAAGTTCAGGTCCAGAAAGTACCAATCCTGACCAATATTTTGTTTCAACCAACCAGTTGAGTACTGTGTGACTGTGACTCTAAACTCAACTGGGTTGGTTGAAACAAAACCATGGTCTAGATTTGTACTTTCTGCACCTGAACTTTCCAACTCTGTTTGAATGCAAATTTAATACATCGGCTTGCAGTTTCTTAATGGGAAGAAGACTGACGTATCATGGAGAGGAGCATAATCAGCAATAACAACAGTGTCGTAGTGTCAAAGGGCTGGAGTTCAAGCTGGCCGGAGTTTTCAGAAACCTTCGGGAAGAGACGGGGGTTCACAGGCCAGCAAACCTCCTCTGAAGAGTCGCGGTATTTCCATTTCCTGTTTAAGGAAGCATGTGGACAGGCCGAGGGGGAGGGAGGGGGAGAATCAGCCAGCACAGCTGGAGTGAAAGGGAAAAGGGCGATTCTGCTCCCCGAATCACAGGTACAGGTCAGACAGAAATAGGGCAAGATGGCACAAAGAAACTACAGCGGACAGGAATCAGATCATGGGTAAATTCCTGCAAGACACGATTCATTGCAAATTAAAAAAAAAATAAAAAATAAATCAGGTAAATATAACATGGAAACTCAGGTAACCATACTGGGGGTGTTAGGGCTAGATTTAGTTTAGCGGGTTAGGGTTAGGTTTAGTTTAGCGGGTTAGGTTTAGTTTAGCGGGTTAGGTTTAGTTTAGCGGGTTAGGACGCTGTCCCTTTGATCAGAAGGTCTCCGGTTCAAAGAGATTTCACCGTTGGGCCCTTGAGCAAGGCCCTTAACCTTTTATTGCTTCAAGGACTGTCTGACCCTGCATTCTGAATAGTATGTTACTTTGGATGATGAAGGGTCTGCTAAATAAATTAAATTTAAGTACCGTATATATAAGGATTATTACTAGAGATGCACCGATCAGATATTTGGATCGTTATCAGCGCCGATCCAGACCTATTTGACGGATCGGGTATCGGCCATGCGTGACCGATTCATGTATTATACTTACTTATTTAGTTTTTGACAACCTCTAAAAAGATAGCTCCTATTTCGTGTTAAATCTATTTGTACAATCAATCGCACGACAGCTCTTTCCCATTTTACGTGTTTTTTGCGGCATTCAAATCGAACGCTAACACTGCCTCTCAGTCTTTTTTGGTACACAGTGGATGTAAGTACAGTGACTTCCGTCTGCTGTGACGTCATGCGCATACCCTTTGCAGTACGAGGAGCGTAAGACAAGACGTGACGATCTGGGAGTATTTTACGCTTTTAATAGAAACCAGTAGCACAGCGATTTGCAATCTTTGTAAAGTAAAGTTTTGAGAGGTAGGAATACCGTTTAATGGACGAACCCACTTAAAGCGCATGCAACTGTGCGAGACAAAAAAAAAAAAAGCAATGGATGATTTGGGAGTCGCTAACTTGGAGTGTTTTGCGAACTTGCTGCAGCTTGTGATACAAGAGGGGCTGCCATCACAACAAAGTGTAACTGAGCTGACGCCAATGGGAGAAAAATTTTGTTAATTTTAAGCATTTGCCACTTCTGTATACTTGCTTTGAATATATTCATATTGAACTGCAAATGCTTCAAAAACACTTAAAACAAGACGTACAAACGAGGTGGAACAGTACGTCAGGTATGTCTGTAGTAGCCTAATTAAATGTTTTTTGTCATACATTTTTTTCATCTGCATTTACTAGCTTAAAAAAATTAATATATTAAGTATAACAAAGGAAAAAGAGCTCTTGTATCGGAATCTGTACCGGTATCGGCAGTTGTGTATCGGAATCGGATCAGAACTGAAAAAATGTGGATCGCCCCATTTCTAATTATTACTATAACTACATTAATTCATCCATTTCTCCAAACACTTATCTAGGACAGCAACCTTACAGCAAGTGGTAAGATGACAAAAACAGTAACGAAGACCCCAGAAAGAAACCTGCATAGATCTCTCTCACAGACAACATCACAAGCATTTCACGTCTTACAGAACATTCCGCAAGTTGGGATATGGTGAGAGTTGGACACCATTAATTAGTCACCCATTCATGTAAGCCAGGCTTGACCATCTTTGAAGTAATTCTTCACAGCTACTGTGAGCCCAGCCACACTAGAGCACCGTTCCTTGCCACAGGAGAAAGGGGTACTTCAAAGCCAAAGCCAGAGGCAAAGGGGCAGAGTGTTAACTTAACATCCGACTTTCACTTATGCTTATGGCCAGTGACTTCAACCTCACTGATCTTTAGAAAACATTCACAATAGATTCTCATGGAGTGTGTGCATTACAGATGAAGGTAAGTGAGCATGCTGAATATCTGAAATTCACTTCCCTCTCTGGAAACCATAACTTCACTGTAAGTTGAACATCTGGAGAGGAAATCTCAGCACGGCACAGAGAGCCATTTATTTCTGACCTCGATCAGCCAGTGAGGCTCGTTAGAAGTGTGGTTCCTGGTGTCACGCCAAACGAGAACCCGTCAATGTTTACATCCATCATCATCATCATCATCATCATCATCATCATCATCATCATCATCATCATCATTATCATCAACAACCACTTGTCCAGTTAGTGTGGCACTGAACACCCAGTGTTGGGGAACATACTGACAAAAAGTAATCCATTACAAACAGAGGTGGGAAGTTCCAGAAAGTACAAATCCAGAATCCAACCAGTTGAGTATTCTGTGACCATGACTCTAAGCTCAACTGGTTGGTTGAAACAAAACCTTGGACTGGATTGTCAAATGGATTACTTTTGTAACTTCCCCAACACAGGGAGCACCACACAGAGCCTATCACAGAGGGAGGAGGCCTAAGGCTGAGTACTACATGGGTGGGATACTGCTCCATCACATAGACCTGCACAAACAAAGTGCAACCTAGTCACCTAAACTTGTCTTTGGAATGAGCGTGAGTGTAATGTCTTTAAAAAAAAAAAAAATCTGCTTCTGTGTCAATATTCAATACAAAAAAAGCCTCTCTCTAAGCTCATGAAGCTTACAAGACGATGTTGGGGAAGAGGTTTTGGGTGGGGGGAGACTGCCAACTCGTTAGGGGGACCTTGTGGCAGACAACCCCCAGGGGCCAATGCTTAACAGTGCAACGCGTCTAGCATGACTGGGGCCCCGAGTGTCTCCTCAACCTGGCTTTTCAAAACAGGACACAGTCCAAGGCATGCTGCTCCTGCTCCCACGGTAACCTACCCGTCAGCGCCCCCCCGAGGCTTCCCCGCCTCAAGTGCTTCCCGTCCTCGCTAAGCTGGCGCTTGAACTTCTGGGCGATCCCCAAGCCACACGACAGCTCCGGGCTGCTCGACTTCCGGAACGGAACGGAGGGAGGATACAGGATGTTATCCAGCTGGGAAGAAGAAAGGAAGAGAGACAGAGGGAGACAAAACAATGTAAATCCAGCATTCAGGAAATCATGCAGCGATGTCAGAGTGAGCCAGACTGATGGACCACTTACAGTAAGACTATCAGCTTAGAGGTATGGGGGGGGGCTAACTCAGCATGGCAGGAAGTACCAGAGCACAGGGTGTCGACCCAGCCCAGAAGACTAGTTACTACTGTAAACAGACCTCCAGGCTAAAAAGGTGCTAGCATCATTAGGGAACCCAAGAGGGCTGCACCCCCAACAGTGACATCAAATCGTACGGCTCTTGGTACAAGTCAACTCGTACAAGACTCGCAAGACGGCCGGCCAATGGTCACACAAAACAACCTGCCAGTGTTCACAGAAATCCATAAAATAACCCATAACTAATTCAAAGCATTTCCTGCTGCCTTCTACAGCGAAGAACGCTTCGGTCTGACCCTCGTCCCACCATCTCCTGCAACGAGACACTGCTCCCTGCCTCTTCCCACTGGATCACGAGTGAAACAGTTGGGTTCCCATGCAGATCTTTCTTACTGAGTCATGCTTGTTAATCCTTGTTCCCCACAAGGGAACTTATCCCACTGGACTACAGCATTTTGAAATATTTAACTAATTTTTTTTTTTTATTTCTTTTGTGGAGGGGGGGGTGGTGATCGGTTACATTTTTCTTCTAGAATAATACTTGAAACAGAGTAAGAAAACACACAGAAACAGAACAATACAGAAGAGAAGAAGGACCTTCAGGAAGCCCAGATGCATTGACATGTAGGAGGATATAACAAGATGAAGACCCCCCCTAGCTGCCATACACCCCCCACCCCCACCGCATCCCAGCTCAGCGCAAGCATACAGAAGCATGGAGCATCTCAGGATTTACCCTCCCCGGCACAAGGGATAGACCACCATGTTTCTCATGTCTGTCACGCAATGTAAATTTTGTTGACGAAAAATTTTCGTAATAGTCATCATCAATGACCTTTATTTTCAGACTAAAATGAGACGACAACTAAATAAAAATGATTTTGCAGGGTGTAAGACTATGACGAAGTGTATTGACATTTTCATCTGCGAATAAAAACGAGAGGAAAATGTTTGCCAGAGACGAGATACAATCAGAACTAATGTAGTTCGCATACAGGGGTATTCAACTGAAATTTAAAGAGGTCCATTTAGAGAATTTCTTGAAGCAAAGGTCCGGAAGATCATGTCTAACTATTTAGTGTGATATATATTTAAGTACGTAGCTATTAGTTCTATCAACATTGGATGTGATAAATACCTGACTGTCAAATCAAATGAATTCAGTACAATTCAAAAACTTGACAATATTTATTGTCACGTGACACAGAACTGACCATATATGTATGAGTGCACACCTTTATTTTTGCAGTAACGGCCGGCAATACTGATTTTACAGTACTCAGTTTCCGGGCAAATAAACATATGTTTGTGTTTAAAATAAGAGTGAAATCTGTGTCTTTATGTACTGCACAGTCAGACCTTAACACCATTCCTTAACATTGGTTCCATCTAATCATGGTGAACATAATGACTTTCATAAATCAAAGGGAAACTTTAAACATTACACTTTGCACTTTTAATTTTAGTCGACTTAACTGTAGTTTTAGTCGACTAATCTTATATTTAGTCAACTAAAACTAGAGTAAAACTAAAATAATTTAGATGACTAAATTATGGCTGAAACTAAATTACATTTTAGTCTAAAGATTATGACTAAAACTAAATAAAAATTTGCTGTCAAAATTAACACTGCTGCCACGTGCACTAACAGTAAGCTGGCATGGACCCCCCTAACCCCCCGGCCGACTGGAAGACCGTAGCTTTCCACAGCCGGCCACCCGCAGCGTGCCACACCGGCCGTCCGGCAGACGTTGAAATCAGTCTTCTGCTATATTATTATTATTCCCATCCCTTCACTTAAAAACAAAGGTTACGGAACACTTCTCTGTGCAAATGTTTCTCCCCATCATCCATTTTTACAGCAGTTTCCATTTCCTTTATACACCAGCAACTCAGGCAGGGTTTCATTCATGGATTCCGGTCTCTGTCAGGACAGCAAAGACCAAACCACCATCACCTCTTATCCAGGTTGGAGGAAACGGAGGTAAACAATGATTTGAGAGACAACAAAACAGAAGAAGTAGACACCAACATCTTCTGGGGGGGGGGGGGGGCTAATTTAGCATGCTACTTTCCCTTTGTGTCAGACAGGGGGCGCCAGAAGCGACGCTCGTCGAGGGTGCCACATGGGCTCACATGGGTGCTTGAAGAATCAGAAGTGTGACCATAGGAAGCCAAACCTGTGCCTATAGCCCTTGGGCGGAGCTCTGGTGTGAGATTCCTTGATGGTTCAGGATGCTGCAGTCTGTGAAGAGCACTTGCCTCACATCTCCATGACTGCTGTGGCACGGCGTGTACTCGGGACGGGTCCCCGCAGGCAAGCAGCTCATTTGGGACGGCAGGACATAAACTAACCACTTGTTACCTTCCTCACGACAACAAACAAAACGAACGGCTTTTCTGCACATGTAAACATTCACTCATTCAGCAGACACTCTCATCCAAAGTCAAATACAAGCGAGAATGAGAAAGCCAGTGTCCAAGGAACTGCTGTTCAAGGACCCAATGCTGAAATCACTCTGCTGACCACAGGATTTGAACCAACGACCTTCTGATCACGCAAGTTCTAACCTGCAGCGCCACGCACCACCCATAACAGTAACACTTACTGTAATAAAGATGGGCTCAAACATGTTATACTGCAAAATCATTTCAATGACATCATGCAGTGAATCCTCACAAAAGGGGGTAAACACGCAAGATCTGAAAAATGAGCTGCTTGTCCCTGAAAGCCAGCATTGGGCACATTTGTGTCCTCATTACATAAGCGCCAGGTGCCTTCATACAGAAAGATTACTTTGCACCTCAGTGAATCGACTCCTTCTGACGGGATCAGAATATGCAGAATTAGGAGAGGAGCAGAAGATGCGGAATTTTTAGCCGTTTTTAAATGAGTTAAAACGGACTAAATAAAATCAGGGGCGATAAAAGGACAAAAAACACATTTTAATGGGCTCTGATTTTATGTAATGGGCTTTAATGTTTATAATTCAGCACACAACGATGGTGCAAACACAGGTAAAAAAAAAATAATAATAATAATAATCTTTTCTCCAGCATCAAACGGATACCATCTGGCCGTCACATTGACACTATACAGTCTCACACAGAATCCCAACCAAGACTGACCTAATCAATTACCTCCGAAGGGCTACTCCAACCCTCGTGTGAGATTCAGCGCCGAACGAGTCCAAGCAGATGTGGTGAGATCACAGTGTAATTGCACAAGGGCAGAGCTGGAATTGATCAAGCGCATTGTGAAATGACAACACATACAAGAGACACAAGGCTTGGAAACAGGGATGCCATATATCGTACAGATCACTCCGTCACGGATCACGGCTTAGGGAAAGCCAAGCCAAGCCAGCCAGCGCACAATTAAACACTGACGAAGGTCTCCCACGGGATATGGCTGAGGACACAAAGCGGGAGGTTACAGGAAAGGGTCAGTCTGAAATCGGCAGTGGTGTGAAGGCAAAGGCCTGCAGTTGTCTTACAAGTTTAAAATAACTTTGATAACCAATTACAAGAGTAGTTTAAAGTTCACAGCCAAGGCACTTCTGAATCAGATTAACTTCATGAAGGAGTATCAAAGTGCCTGTATTGTAAACGACCTGCGCAAGAGTTACATTTACACCACAATAAAACCCAGAAATGTGTCTGCAGTTTTTTCCTGAGCAAAGTTCTGAGAACTAGACCGAAGATCGTATGCATCTTAAGTAAGGTCTTGGGATTTGGTGGTAGGGAAGCAAGAATTAAGCTCATGTTCATCTCTAAGGCATCTGGAATCGATCAGGACTGCGCCATTTGTCGAGTCTCAGTGAGTCAGGCTGTGAAACCGGCGTTTTGCATCTTTCAGTATTTCATTTTTCACTGTGAGCAAAATAAACGCTTTTCAAAGGTAACCTTTTTCTTTTGGTTACAACCTGCAGGAAGCTATGCAGGATATTTACCTGTGTGTGTTTATGTTTTGTTCTGAACACACATTTATCAATGTTTTTAAATAAGGGCTTGCTTACAAAAATCTGAGAAACATGCTGCCAGTCTGCTAGTCGATGGTGGCAAACCCACATCGGTATCCTATTTAGCTTTTCACACATCCTACAAGGAACAACACAGTCATTCTGGCAGTCCTCTACATTCAAGGTGCCTTTTAACTGCCATGTGTCTTATAATTGCCTTCATGTATATAATTATTATATTAGAAACTCCAATTGCAGCCAAGCATGCTGGGACTGCATCTGTCCTTAATCTGTTTATCCACAACCACCCACCCCCCACCACCCCATAATTCTAAGTCACGTCAATCCTTTTTATTATATTAATATCATAGTGAAGCTCATACTTGGCAATCCACCATGACACCATTATACAGGATGGATTACCTTCCCATCGAGGCTCAAAATGTAATTTACTGTCCTTATATCCACAGCTGGCCACATTCATAAGCTTCAGAGAGCGGACTGGAAATGCCAGTCCAATTAAAAATGTCAAGAACCTCACATTCTGACCAAAGGAACAAATGGCGGTTTGAGTGACCGACAGCACCCTTCAAAAGCTACAATGAGCTGAAGTTTGTCAGTAGAGTCAGTGGGGTTGTAGAGTAACATGGCTGAGCCCTGACAGGATGGCAGTCGCTCAGTGTAGTGGGCCCAACAGCTGGGAGGAACCTACAGACATTCACTCGCACCGAAAAGTATGCGATCTTTCAGTAGATGCCCCGCAGCCCTTCATGTTTGGATTGAGCATTTTTCAGTCGTCCGGCCAGACTAACTTGCTGTTTGGTTCATAGGCACCGCCGAGCCGAGCTTTGAGCTACCAAACGTAACTATGTCGAAGAT